AGCTGGTTCTCCAACGGTTCCCCAATAATGTCAATCACCGTCTGCAGCAGCTTTGTATGGTTAGTGCTCCAATGGTGAACATTGTCGATAGTACCGGTAGTTTAGCACAGTAACTTTCTACAGATTTGGTTTTGTTTAATATTGCTTAATTTTCCACTTAATCAAAATTGACACCAACACATACGTTGGTCCGTATATGAAAAACTTCCACTAAACACGGCCAACGGGGAACCTTTTCGCCATACATAATTGAAAATTGACATTTCTAACGAATGTCGAGATTTGAACTGGTGACAGCAGATCCACCTTTGATTGAAAGACCGCAATAGCAGTTCCGATCAATGACTAAAGATATTTTGGAAGGAACGAAAGACTGATAGATATTCAGGTGTTTATACACTAAAGGTCGCGAAAACCATACAGGTACTGACAAGTCAGTACTGATAAATATAAAGCAAGTGCGGTCCAAATTGCTGCTTTTAACGCAGATTAACAATATGCAGGGTGGAAGTCATTTCCAAAGACTGATATTACGCTTTCCCATTTTTCTCCAAATGAGTTTCGAGGTTGGTGGTTATAGGATAAAATGCTGCGAGTCAAGGAAATTCTCGGCATGCAAGTCCTCTATGATTGGAGGGTACCGCCCTCTGACGTCGTTGAGTCTAATGGCCCGGGTTCGATTGAGTAAGCAATGACATGTGTGAAAACTCCTAGAAGGTTCTGTTATCGGGGAGGAAGGAGTTTGCACCGGTGAGAGCAGGTGCCAAAGAAAATTTTATTTGGCATTCTCTTTCATGCATACCAGCTGTGTATAAACTGTTTGTATTTTATATTTTATTGTAATTGTCTCAACGTGCTGACTTTCCTTTTGGGCAAAATATGATGAGGGCGCTTCAACTCATGCTAAGAGCACACCATGGGGCAATAGAGGCGTTGACAACAATGTCGCTTTCGGGCACTGCCTGAGAGTTTATGGCTCCAGACCAGAGGTGTTGTCAAACAAGTAATTCGCCCTTGACATTAACATTACTCTTACAGTCTTACGCAAATGTTCCGTGCCAACAAAGCCATGGTAAGTTGCAACTGTAAAAATTCCTCAGCAAGTAGAAAACGAGTAGGATCAAAGACTGGAGATGCAAGTGGAATCACAAGGGTTGTCCCATGCACAAAAAAATCGCTGGGTCTCAAATAACATTACACAGTAGCATAACGGTTATTAAAACAAGCTCCAAGCATAACAATAAGTCGCTGGCACGTACACCTAGTCCCCTATCTTCAATGACCACTATTTGACCACTTCCAGGGGTTTAATGCCTTATAAAACGGGGTCCACTTTGTGGCATCTCATAGCATCTCGGAGAGATCGCTGGATTGCTGGAACCAGATGTTACGAATGGGTCTTGGAAACGTTCGGGAAAGATCTGACAGAACAAACACTTGTATAATCCCTACAGTTTGATTAGCCCATTTTCGACTAATATTTGGATAAGCTTATAATATGCCAACGCCTTAATGTTATGAACATGCACAACGAGTACATTGTACTCTTAGCCACTGACATGCATCCGGGTAATAAAGGAAGAAACTGTGAAATGCTGAGCAGCACAAGACTTTGTACCTGTAGTGTTTATTTGAATTGTAAGAAAAATCGCCAGATCCGACTACCCTTCCGGTGTTAATAATAAACGAAACCTTCAACTTCAGGAGGATGCAACCGTACCAAGACGATGGTGTTTACTCTATATCACATCCCTTTCCTTTCCACAGCATGTAAAACGCCCAATAATTTAGCCTCACCCCTAAGAAGGGCCGAGAAAAGGTTCCATAAAGAAGTTCCAAATTGAGGGGAAAGACACCAAAACAGTTTGCCCTCCCCCGTAAAATTTGGATCCGGATTTCCCTTTGAAAGACCGCAAAAGCAGTTCCGATCAAGGACTAAAGATATTGTGGAAGGAACGAAAGGCTGATTGATATTCTGGTGCTACCGTAAGGTCGCCAAAACCATATATAGGTACTGGTAAATCTACAGCAAATGCGGTCCTAATTGCAGCTTTCAACTCGGAGCAACAATATGCAGGGTGGAAGTCATTTCCAAACACTCATCTTACGCTTTCCCATTTTTCTCCAAATGAGTTTCGAGGTTGGTGGTTATAGGACAAAATGCTGCGAGGCAAGGAAATTCTCGGCATGCAATTCCTCCATGATTGGAACTTACCGCCCTCAGACGTCATTGAGTCTAATGGCCCGGGTTCGATTGTGACAGCAGGGCTGCTGTCGCTGCTCGATGTGTCACTGTCGCCTGTCGATGTCATCGACGTTGTACCATTGTGTACAAAGGCTCCATCGGTAATAGCGGATAGCGAAAAATATCAATATCTCAACAACAAGCAATTGTGAAAAATCCTAGAAGATTCTGTTATCGGGAGGATGGACTTCACACCGGTTAATAAAGCAGGCGCCAAAGAAAATTATTACATGTATTAGGCATTCACTTTCATGCCGACCATCCGTGTATAAACTGTTTCTATGTTACGGTACATTTTAAAACTGTCTCATGCTGACTTTCCTTTCGCGCAAAATATGATCACCTGGCTGTCTTTTTTCTCTCTTATGTTAAAACGTGTCTACTTAACAATGGTGCGGTAGTAGCAGTCCTCCGTAGCGAAGGGGTTAACGAAGCGGAGACTGGGTTCTGCCTCTTTTTTGCGACATTATACAGTAGGAGCTGGGAAATCAGTGAGGGCGCTTCAACTCATGCTAAGAGCACACCATGGGGCAATAGAGGCGTAGACAACAATGTCGCTTTCGGGCACTGCCTGAGAGTTTATGGCTCCAGACCAGAGGTGCTGTCAAACAAGTAATTCGCCCTTGACATTAACATTACTCTTACAGTCTAACGCAAATGTTCAGTGCCAACAAAGCCATGGTAAGTTGCAACTGTAAAAATTCCTCAGCAAGTAGAAAACGGGTAGGATCAAAGATTGGAGATGCAAGTGGAATCACAAGGGTTGTCCCATGCACAGAAAAATCGCTGGGTCTCAAATAACATTACACAGTAGCATAACGGTTATTAAAACACGCTCCAAGCATAATAATAAGTCGCTGGCACGTACACCTAGTCCCCTATCTTCAATGACCACTATTTGACCACTTCCAGGGGTTAAATGCCTATAAAACGGGGTCCCCTTTGTGGCATCTCATAGCATCTCGGAGAGATCGCTGGATTGCTGGAACCAATGTTACGAATGGGTCTTGGAAACGTTCGGGAAAGATCTGACTGAACAAACACATGTATAATCCCTACTGTTTGATTAGCCCATTTTCAACCACAATCCTGGATAAGATATTATTTCCAAAGCCTAAAATTTATGAAAATGCACTCTTAGCCACTGACATGCATCCGGGTAGTAAAGGAAGAAACTGTGAAGTTTTTGTAGTATTTATTTGAATTATTAGACATATTGTCCGATCCGACAACCCACCGGTGTCAATAAATGAGACTTTCAACTTCAGGTGGAGAATGCCACCGTACGTGGCGTGCCGGTAATTATTGGAGGCAACGGAATTATGTTACAGCTGGAGCATCAACATGTTCAATTGCGGGCACAAAGAAAGGAAAGAAGGGAGTTTGGTCCAGCTGGCTTGCATGAAAAGTGTTGCGCGTGAGAAGCAAGATATGGGACGGAGAGAACCCCTCCCCTTGCGTTGGTCATTGTTTCACTGGTGTGTATAGTGATTGCAAAATTTGGGGGTACCCCCTCGATCTCATTTCTTTCTGGATATAGTGCAGTGGGCATGGGAAAGGATGAATATTGAGGAAGTCAGTGGCTCGAATCCTTGAGATATCTTTTCTCTTATTTCTCTCCCCCCCCCACCTTTCCATTTTGTTTCCTGTTGGAAAAGGTTAATTCTGACAGGATATTTCAAATTACAGCCCAAAGTTTGCAGCCAAGACTTGCTCTATTCGAGGAAAAACCTCTTTCCACTGATCTATAAACTTAAGCCTCACTTTCAGCGGGCTCACAACATAGCCTTGTATTATATTACTTTCGCCTCAAGAATACAGGCATCTTGAATATTTATGTATAATAGCTCCATGCTATAAACGCCTCGTTTATTAACAGTAGTTGAGAGTCGAATCTAGTGGGATTAGGAATATTATGTGGGAAGTAAAACAACCTGTGGAAATCGGTTGGAACGAGGAAACATTTAACATGCCGGATTTACCTAAATCATCTGCAGTTGTGACGTCTGGGACTACAACGTAATAAAATTGGAAAGAACGCAGTCTTGTTTAAAAATCGTGTAGACATCATCAATCAGAAGTTGACGTATCTTGCTTTTTTACTCACATACGGTTTCAAACGTTTTGTGGCAGGGGCTAAGCTTTTTGTAGCCCGATGAAGGGATACCACAGTCGGGATTTTTATTTCGTATGAAAGGTCGCTGGCAATATTTCGCAATAACAATAAAAAGTAAGAAATCACGGACAAATCCAACAATTGCAGAGCCTAGAACACATTCTTTTAAAACTGACACCGCCCTCATTATTGCAAAGTAAGTCGCAATTGTTTCGACACTTTGATTTTCTAAATGATTCACTATATTTAAGGATGAAAATACCAAAATGGAAATGATCTCAAAAGCCACAGGAAAAAGTGCAATACTCAGGACACTTTAATCCCCAAAGGCCAATACTCAAAGTGCGCTAACCTTCAGTGGTACCAGTTCCAGGTGAACTTGAAGATTGAGCCGTGGTACTCAGCACAGCTGCAACAATATTGAAAACAAACACATCTGTTAAAACTATAATTAGGAACCAGATCAGGGGACACGGCAGCAATAACAGAGAGATCAAAAAGGAATAGGACGTTGCATCATACAATGTACAGTGAAGCTTGAGAGTGCAGCACCCCCCATGGAAATCCAATGCAATTTGTAAGGTACATAATCCTCTGTAACTGGATGTGTAATGCATACCTCCTTCCCCAGCTCTAAAAATCTAACAGCAGCGCAGCAATGCCACAAACGTTTGTACACATTCCATTCTCTATACGTATTCTGCATCTCCAGGCCTAGACAGCAGCGCAAGAAGTTGTCTAAAACAATCAATACACCCGATCAGACTATACCCACTGCTGTTATGGAAGGGACCTTAGGATCTGTGACATGAATTTTCCTTAGAATCACCTTTTTGTGCTTATTAAACTCTTCTTCAATGTATGCAGACTATTTGAAATCGTTTTGGGGTTAATTTAATGTAAAGTGCATCACTCACTCAGAAAGGGGAGCCATTGGACAACTCTTTTACGAGTTGTCCTTTGCACGGCTCCTTCGCATAGTGGACATTTCACTCTTTTGGTTAAGAGTGTTTTTCAATGCTTTTAGTGTGGTGTTAACTCGTTAGGGCACTTTTTTTTAGAGGATGCACTTTCTGAGAATGCATCCTCTCACTCTTTTGCATTTAAGGAGTAACATCCTAGTCAAGTCAACTTACCTGTCAAGATCAAGACCACAATTGGAATGGCAACACTGAGACAGACAGTCGCGCAAACGTTTTCGCGTGTCATCTTGCTTCCTTACACCGTGCACGCTCTGCCGAGGAGAAAGCAAAATCGAAATTAATGATGTCACGTTCACAGTTTGTGAGAAGTTCGCGTCATCATAAAAATGAATTAAAATCGTAAGCGCATGTACTGGCAGGCAATTATCAACAAAGATGGACACTAGTTTCTTAAATTAATTTTTAATAGAAAATGAATTTTCTGAGGCAAAAATCTAGCACCATATTAAATATTCACCCTTGCATTGATGCATTGATTTCATACATTTATTTTGAAAAACTTTTAAAAATCAGGTCATTTTGGTTCACCCCAAATCGTATGGAATCCAACGGTGCACGAAATTCAAAGCCATTTCATATCTATTTTATTACCAAAGTGGTGTATCCAACACTAGGATGGTGATTTTCTGTTAGATTGTACCAATTTCGTCAGTACTGCTACCATTTCATAAGGTAGAATCGTTAAAATAGAGACATTTCGTGTTCATCGCTTCCGCTGCTACGGACACTGACCAGTGTGGTGCCCCGACATCAAAGTCGTGACGTCCACCTCAGTACATGTGCATGAACATATACACATACACATGTAAACACGGATACACGACTGTACTCGACCCGTGACTCGTCGCTGCAAAAGTCTTACCTTACAAGAGTATGGTGCAAGTGTATCCTCTTTTGGATCAAAATATTTCACAGCTGTTTTTAATTTATAAGATTATAACCTTAAAGTAGTAATATACTTATACGAAAGGTTCTAAAATTTTATGTAAACTTTGCTGACAAGAGCTGCGTCATGTCAACTCAACAGAATCTGGAACCCATCGACAGCAGGGAGGTACGTCTTTGCAACGTTGTACAATCTCGTTTTCACATTCGTATGGAGAGTGAAAACAAACGTGCGTGAACAGTGGCCTAGGTACGATACAGGCGGAAGTGAAAGGTCGTCAATGAAATTTGTTTTTACCCATCTCCAGATGACCTTTCCTAATGCAAATATTACTTGAGGAAAACAAAGGTAAATTCCAACACGAGTGTCATGGGATGGTTTCAGTTGGGAGTCACTCTTCCAAAAAATATCGAACGTGATACGACGGATTTTACTTTAAGGCTCTGTAGATACTGATCAACTTTGGCCACACAATTTTTTCAGGTGAAAAATGAAATAATTTGGGGGTTATTTAAACCCACATTTTTCATTACCTTTTTGGAGGCAAGGCACAAAATCAATGCCTCTGAAAAAATAAAACAACTAATGTAATTTGGATTTGTCATGAAAAATGTTATTATTTATACTCGGTTTCCAGGAAATCCATTAACAAAGACGACGCCTCATGTTGCAATCAGAGCGCAGCGCGCGCAATCAGACATAGCCTGTTGCTATTCTGCTAAAGGTAGTGGACACTATTGGATTTTTGTCATAATTTAACAAGATTGGCTGATTACGGTGTATACTATTCACTGAAATTTACAATCCACTCACTTGTTTCATGTTTGAGTCAACTGCTTTGTGAACAGTCGAGAAAAACAGCGCGGCATTTTCAACCGCTTAAACCGAAGGTCTTGTAGTTTATCTTGCGTAAAATCTATGGAATATAGGGCGTTCGTAGACAAGCGAACAACGTCCGCAGGGTCAGGATGGGAAACAGGCATGACAGGTTCTCGTTCCCTTAAAATGAGCAGTTTTCAACAGCTCGGAGTAATCAGTGAATTAACCTTGGAGTAATGCGCCGCCCCGACAATGTAGAATTGCGGATTCAAGGAAAAACTTCATCCAGGAACGCAGCAGTCGACTCGTGTCCGTGACACTGAAACGAGTAAGCATATTATGATGATGCATGTGGGCGCGCGATCAAGCTTATGGCCGCACTTTCGTGTTAGTCCTCACGTCGATGAAAGTCTTCCAACGGGAGGCTTAACGTGTGGAAATCATACTTCTTGCTGACGGAAATCATCATGCTTGGAAACAGCCGCCATATTGGACCATATATGCTCTATGGGTGATTTTAAATTCGCAAAGTTTCCCGTTAGAAAACCTTTCCTTAAATAAAATTTAACTTCACACTGACCCAATTTATTTTCTACTTTACGCCTACCGCTCATCAGGTTTCCATACGTTCAGTTCGCAGTGCTTTTGGTGAATTTATGTCGGTATATTTTTAGCTGTTTTTAGGTTTATCCGTTCATTAATGGAGATGCCCACAACGTCTGCAAACACTACACATAAGAAAATTGGCGCCCGTTAAAGGATGTGATTTGTGAAGTGAAATTTACTCTTTTACAATGGTTGGCCGACCATCGTAAAAAAAAAGAACATAATGTTTGTTTTCTCGAAAATAGAGCATTTTGGGTGGAAATATTTCACACACTGATTGAGACTCTTATGCACTTTCTTTTAAGTAAGATATTTCAGGATTATACGGTAGTCCGATTTTCGGGATTTTACCAATGTGTCCACTACCTTTAAGTGCAAATCCTGCGCACGCACACTTTGGTAATGAACGCCATGAACATTACGTGAGCCCACGCGCAAACCACACCCTGAGAACGTATGCACTGGCTCGCATAACTTGAATATATACAAAGTGAAGAAATATACTGAAAATAAATAAAATCTTCAATACAAACCGAGAGAGTACATGTTCACATACCGAAAAGTGGTCAGGAAGGGTGACTGTATCCCTTGAAATTTAAGACACCACGCTATAGGATGTACGCACTTCAACACACAAACCACCAAACACACGTCTGGGTGCAACCCTCAGATTTCCTAACCACTCGAAACCTACACGTAGCCTGTTTTTCCTTCTGGAATAACCATAGTGGTACAGGGGTACACCTTTCCCAAACAATACGGGTATTCTCAGTGAGCTTTGAATGTTTTCTTCCATGTGCATTGACTCACACTTCTGTTTTCCTAGTACCGTATACACCTCATTAGTTATCGGGTGAACCCGATCTGTGCTTCATATAATAGTTCGTAAGAAAAACACATTAAAAGTCATAGAATGTGCCATGGAATACGCAAATGCATGCACATTTTACGTTGACGGCTACGCAAACTTTTGTGACAGGGCGTCTCAAACTCCAACCACATTCTGTCGGTTCAACTTCAGGCCCCTAATACCACGATTGTCGTTTGCCCAAGAACAAGTCTGTCTTAGATATCTTGGTAGTAAAAATAATGTATACATACTTCTCTTAGCATTAATTTACATGTATGGCACGTGATAAAGCGGTATGTCTCGTGACAATCTGGTTGTAAGGAAACCTTGACATACATTTCTATCAGCAATGAACTTCAAGCCACGGTGGAAAAGTTGAAATTCATACTTTGAATGGCTACACGGAACAAAAGTTCCGTGAAGCTGGTTCCTACAAGTTTAAAGCCGTTCGGCCATGTTTCCTTAGTGTATCCAAATGTTTATGTGTTTAGAATGTGGAAGTTTATTCTTATACCAGTGTTGTGCAGTTAGCTCATAAAAGACGCTCAAGCATTGCATGGATGAACAACATATTCTTGAACTCAAAATTGCAAACTTGAAAACCCATGAACCATTCGCTTGTTCTCCTTGTTTTTCCTGACTAGACACTGAACACAAAACAATGAATAAACACTTCTTTCAGAAGTTGGTCGCAAAATATTGTGACGCATGAATCACAACAACGGTTGCCACAACAGCACAACCAAACAATTGCAAACAATAGCAAACAATAACAAACAATTGCAAACAATACACATGGTAAAGAATTCGCAGATGTCATGTATCACCGGACAAAGACACAGCACTGTAGAATCCCCTTGAAACATATACGCTACTCCAAGCGCGGCTTCTTCCAAGCGGATATCTCTTATTCCCGGACACGGGCGACAAGATGCAAACTGAACAAACTTCCTCGTAAAGTCTACAAGAGTTGAAAGTGCAATGAACGGATGTCTTGGGTACTTGAGAAAGTCAGCAGAGAACAGAGGAAAGCTTGTGAGCCTCCCTTGTTTAGATTCAGCATCAACCGGTAAGTGCAGTCAAGGAAAGGATATTTTACATCAGGTCGAGTGAACGGGCTCTTAGAGGATCCGGCTATTGTATTTACGATGATAAAAGAACTAGTGTGTTGGGGGAATTATCTGGCCAGTGGTTGATAAAGTGGCTGAATTCACGGGACCGTATCATTTGTTTTGTTCTGTCTCCTAGCAACTTTAGGAAAACAAAATGCTGTCACCGAAAAAAACGCCATTGTGCGAGCACCCGCTCAGATGGAAAGTTCTGTTAGTATAGCCGTTGCTATGGATTTGCCTTATCATAAAGGAGATTACAGCCTGGAAAACGACTAATAAATTTCTCACGATCCACAGGCACGATAGACCAAAATTAACTGTATGTATTTTACTACGAATGCACAAGTGGTCGTGCTCAACACTTTGCAAGCACTGGCTTGTGAATTGGAAAATCTTATTTCTAAACAAGACCTCGGAAGATTCATGGAGAGGGCAAGGTGTAAATATCTTATTTCGTGGTAAATGACATCTACGGAAATTACATTTTTGTTTATATTTTCGTTAATAACCGACCACTGTGCTGATTTGCTATTTTGATAAAAAACACTTCAATTATGTCACTCACCTATCAATTAACTTGTTTTGGAAGCGCAAGACAGAGATACTGACAAGGCACAATTTTAGCACTCTAGCGTGAATAACACGATGAAGCATTCCCATGATGACAAGCATGGGGAGAAACAAGCCCTCTCGGCGAACAACGCGAGGGTCTGACTGCTACAGCGAGGTTCGAACCACTGTTCTTTAATATATTTCCTTTTTGGGGGTTAAACTGTCCAAGGGCTTTCAAAGAATTGGTGGATACAAGACAATTAAAAAAAACAGACTTGGGAAGAAGATCAAATCTGCATGGTAAGCCCTAATCTAGCGGTGTAACAATGTATGGTGGGGAACGAAGCACAGACAATAGAGCTGAAAGGAAAAGAGTGCCATAAACTGGATTCCTCCTGTGTACAGTTTGATTCTAGATCTTCCTCA